CTCCGGAGGACCCGGCCTGTCGTTTTGGACACAGCCATAGTCCACCAGGATGAGCCAACACAAAAGTCAGAGACTTCACATGAGATTTGGGCCATCTTCTGGGGGAAAAGCAGATTACTTACTACTCGTGAGTGCCCTCTCTAATGGGGAAACTTTTTTCAGGGATACAAACGTTTTCAGAACACCGGTAGACGGCAGCAATTACAGACGAACATCGTCCCGGTCACACGCTAATGTCATTAGTTCGTTGTCATTACTAGGTGCAGGACTGCTTTTTTCCCCCTTTTTTCACATCATGTCGCCTGCCTGGATCTGTTACCATCTCGCTCTGAAGAACGGAGTACTGCTTTTTACGATGGTCTCATTTCCGGACTCAGGTATTTTGTGAATGAAGTCGATATTTCAGTTAAAATACTTCAGTAAAAATATTTATCCGAATATAGTACTACCCCCCACTTTATGGATGATTTTATGGATTTAATTTTATGTATTATACATGAATACGGTAACTCTGTAATTTTTACTATTAATTATCTTGCTTAATTTTTTGTGCATGTTTAATCACTCGCACAAGTAGTCTGTTTTCAGTGCAATATTGTACATGCTAAAATCAATGTTTATTTGCATGACATACGTAGTAGAGCTCTCTTTTTGTCATTATTTACATTGTAGCAGTGTTGTAGCTAGGTTAGCGGCAACAATACAATTGCCTGTCGGCTAACTGGAATGCAGTTTCATAAGGTTTGTTGGGAAATGACATCACTACCATTTACCAGTTCCCAGAATACGATGTAAACGGAACGCAGCCTTACTGTGTATTTCAGTTGAACAATAAATAAATCTTATTACCATGAATCTCAAGGATTTTTCACACAACACCTCAGTCCTGGACTGAGAAGTGTTCTGGATTGGTGTGACTGGGCCAGCTTCATCTGTGATTTATGAAKGGCCAGAAGGAGCTTCAAGACGGACTGGTCTGTGAGGCCATTTCAATGAACTGTTCCATCAAAGAGCCTCCAGCCTCTGAGTTTCATCAACTTAATTAAGATTACGCTACTTTTTCTTTCTTTTACTCTCTTCCACAGTTAAAAAAATAATCATTTCCACTCACTCTTACACAAACGATAATCAGCCAAAACATTATAATTTAATAAGTCCCTTATTTGCCAATAATACAGCTCTGACAAGCCAGAGAAAGAAAATAAATTTAAAAAAAGCAAAGGCAAAACAAAAGAATACAGAAGTTTGGGCTCTGTCAATTGATGAGAGAAATGTCAAGATTGAACCTGTTTTTCCATCAGTGCCATGTGATTCCAGAAGATTGGAGGCCAGGTGTGTTCTGAGCCACAACACGCTCTGTATATATTTTTTTCATTTATAATCGTYGTTGGCACCATAAAGCCAAAACAAGCTGGTACCATACAACGATAACCATCCCCTGCAGGCATGAACAACAGCGTCTCTGTAGCAACTCATTTAGTGCAATAAATTATCATGTTTCTGCCTAAACTGTATGAGTAATAGCACATTTCACTGCATCTAAAAAAACAACAGTATTGCTTTTAATGGTGCAAAGATTCAATCAGCTGTGTATCCACTAGTTTCCTGAGAAGCTTACGTAGGCTGCCATGACAGTCACTAGCCACAGCCCTCACCCACTGTTCGCTTTTTCCGGTGCGCAAGAAATTCATTCATTCGGATAGTTATGATAACAACAAATTTAGTTTGTTTTTGCTTTAACTGGCAGCTTGAGCAGTTCAATCATGAGTTCGTGTTCATCTTGTGTATTTGTCGGCTGCCACAACAACTGAAGAAAACTGAGAAATGCTTTATAAACATTTTGGCTGGAACTTGATGTAGTGGCATAGCGTCCTACAAACTGCACTTTATGCCGACGAAGAAGGATGGTAAACTAACACGGCTGGCAGCTTTAAATCTGAATAACCCACCAAAGAGAGTTTGCTTGCTTTTTTCATTTTATCGACAAAAATTCCCATGGATATCATATTCACTTCCATCCAGAGCTAAGGCTGGTTACTGAAGGCATCTAGTCTGAACCACTGTGAGTCAGACAGCTTCCAGCAATATCAACTAAAACCCTGAATCTGTACCTGGTGAGTTAAACTCTAAATGTTGTTTCCCCTGTAGCTATTTAATCATGTAGTTCTTTGCTTTTACTGAATGAAAGCCTACGGTGAATGGTGTTAGCATCAGCACTAACTACTGTTAGCATGTTATTTGCAACTAATCTTAATTTTAAAGAAATATTTTGCCTATGGTTAGTAGCTGCATGCTGGCAAAACTACATATACGGCTTAATTTAACTGTCTCAATTCTGAATAAGCTCAGAATAATAAACAATCCTCAACTATGTGCTATAATATTTTGTTTACATCATGGCATGTTTAAAAGACGAGCTTAACAGCGCCCAGGGGCTATAAAAGTGTCCGGTTTGTTTAAATAAAAAATATGCTTAAAAAGTTATTAGAGTCAGTTTATTTATTTTTGTTTAACATTTATTTAAAATGACTGCAGCTCTAGGAAACCCAGTTCATCTCTAAAAGTTACTAACGAACTAGCACCCAGTGAATTTTATGTTTAGAATAAGGGGGAGAAACCGTCTATTCACAATACTTTTACAATATTACCGTATTTATTCGTGTATAATACGATCTCATGTATAATACAACCCGCCCTTTTTTGAGCTTAAAAAGCATAAAAAATTTAATCCTCAAACTACCTCCAATTTCATACAGACTTCAAGATTTTTCCGGCTTTGCAGTCTTTATACATATCAGTGAAATGATCATTGGTCTGTTCATTTTATTTTAACAACATATGTACTAAAAGGTATTTTGACAACAAATATATATCAGCTGTAGCAGCATCATATGAATTCTGGCATTTTACACATAGTCCACCAGGATGAGCCAACACAAAAGTCAGAGACTTCACTTGAGATTTGGACCATCTTCTAGGGGAAAAGCAGATTACTTCCTACTCACGAGCGCCCCCTCTGGTGGGGAAACGTTTTTTTCAGGGATAAAAACTTTTTCATAACACAGGTAGATGGCCATCATTACTGACGAACATGTGTTTGTTGTTGTTRGAGGAGCGGCCCAGTCACACYCTAATGTCATTAGTTCACTATCATTACTAAGGTGCAGGAATACTTTTTCCCCCCTTTTTTCACATCATGTCACCTGCCTGGATCTGTTATCTCGCTCTGAAGCATGGAGGAGTGTCACAGGTAAGCTTGTTTCAACTGCTTTTTACAACGTGGTCTCATTTCCGGCATTTTGTGAATGAAGCCGATATTTCAGTTAAAATACATAAGTAAAAATATTTAACTGAGCATAGTACTACCCCCCCCCCCAACTTTATGGATGATTTTATGGATTTAATTTTATGTATTACACTTGAATAAATATGGTATTACAATTATGAGGGGCTTATGAACATTTTACTTCCAGAACGGTTGACATTTATGATTTTGCATGTGTGTGTCTTCGGGGAAAGACGAGGTAGTTGATGTCAGTGGTAGCTATTAGCCAACATCGGGACATAGCTTCATCAGTCCGTGAGCAGTGACGGCTGAGCCACTGATAAAGAATTGTCCTCGCCGCTTTTTAAAACATCCTTACAGTATAACACCTCCGATATGTGGCCATCTACGCCAAATTTAAATGAAAAATGCTTTGATAAAAGGCGAAGGTCTATGCCCCTAATTATAAACAACACCGCAACCGGAAAAAGAGAACAATGCTTCCACTGTGAATTATGGGTAGTGGCGCGAAATCAGGAATACTGTGGATAAGCTGAAACTGTGGAATTACTGTATGTAAATGTAAATAAGGTGTTCTTGTTTGAGTAACTTTTGATGCTGAGATCGTGCCGAAGGGGGASAGAGAACAAGTGACGGTCCACAGAAAGTTAAACTCACCCCTTCCTCTTCTCTGTGAGGGTTCAGCCTGTTGTACACTGCCTCTATCACGCTCCGTCTGCAAACACAAGAGAACATGAATATAACCCGAATTCTGTTGATTCATGTTTGATTGAAAGCTTATTCCAACTAAAGCACATGATGCACACAAAAAAAAGAAGAAAAAAAAACTGAATCTCTGGATTCAGAAAGCTCTAAAAGATTTGATCAGGCTACAAATATCCTCCGCTCAGAATGACTAAATTATTCTTTTTATCAGTGAATCTGCTGACTCTTGCTCAGTCACCTTTTGAAAATTGAGGAAATGTGACAAAAAGGGAACAAAGCAAATTCACAAGCCTAACATGGCATCTTTAAATAGCTTTTAGACAAGACTAGTGCTGTACCAAACGATTATTTTCTAATCGATTAATCTAACGATTATTTTTTCGATTAATCGATTATTCTAACAGCAAATCTATAAGTTATTCTGATGTGAGTGCACTGGAAATTTGAAATGTTTTCATCAAATTAACAAGAACAGTTCTTTAATATTGTAATATTTTCTGTAATTGTAATATTATTGTACTTGTAACTGTAATATTTTCATGAAAAACTCACCACTCTTATGCCAATACGGTCGCAATGATGCTTTTAGGTACCGAAATGGAATTGCATGAACATTCACGTGGTGGTTATGTAATACAGTGAATCGATAATAAAAAATCTGCGTCGACAAATTTACATAATCGACGTCATTGATTATTTCAACTAATCGGTGCAGCCCTACTTGTGACGTCCACGGCCTACCCCAGTTACCACTACTGTGCATGTGCGCCAAGGACAAAAAGGCAGATGTGGCAGTTGAAGGTGTCAAAGCAGTTTGGAGAGGAAAAACAAAGAACAAAAAAAGYAAACGATTAATCGATTATTAAATTAGTCATCGATTATTTTAATAATCGATTAGTTGTCGATTAATCGATTAATTGGTGCAGCCCTACACAAGGCATGAATACTTGCTATGTTTACATTGACATAAGTAATAGAAATAAACAGTCAATCAGAATAAAAACGCCCCAATCTGAATATTCTGATCTGGTTGAGCTTGATCAGAATGAAATTATAATCTGAGAGGGGTGGTTTATGCTGATTGGTAATGTGAACGGCGTGCATTTAAACACTTCTGATCATTTTACTCTGGCTGTGGAAAACTGTCCTGACTGTYCGCCCTCCACCTGACATTTGTCCACCTGCTAGATGGAAATAGCTAGATGCTAATATGTCGGGGAAGCAAAACTGGTAGGTTAGCGATACATTTCTATTGGAAACTTTGAAAAAGCTCAAAATATTCAAACGCCTTGATGGTGGAAAGTGTCTCCAACATTATTAAAACCTGGTGTGGGTCCATTCTAGGCGCTCAGAAGACACAGAACATTATTTTTATGTTCATCTTGGATGTATAACTTTTTTTAATTAATTTTGTGTCCATATAAACATTAAATTTGGATTATTTAATATGAATAAATTTCAATCCAATTGAAGAATTTTGCACATGTAAACATAGCCATTAATATTATTTAAAACATATAAAAAATAACAATTTTGAAATCTAGGACTCTGTAAAAGGTACAACTGACATTTTAGACTTCGCACATTTAGAAACGAGGTCATTTTGTGAAATTAAAGAAGAAAGTTACTTTATTACAATAAATAAAAATGTATGTATTCTTTAAAATAAAACAACTTCAGGATATATTTGAAGCTACACAACAAAATAATCATAAAACCACTGAATGCATTTTGATAAAACTGTCAGAAAGTAATGATCGGATGTACATCTACAACGGATAAACTTCTCAATTTAAACTCATTCAAAATGGTTACCACAGCTAACTGACCTTAGCAAACACAATACCTTTATACTACAGATTTTGAGCTTAAATTTTATGTGGTATTAGCTGAGAGTCATTCCCATTACACATTGTTTCAAAATAGGCATTCCTTGAAGAAAATATGCTTTTATTATATGACTGGTATGAGTGTAAATAATACAGTTTTTGGTATATTTACTTGCTGGCCAGGCCTCCACCAGGTGGAAGGTTAGGGATGTTCTCTGAGGCAATGGTCCTTAGAACAGACACCAGGTCAGGGACTCCTGCCTCTCCACAGTTTCCTAGAAGCTCTACAAGCAAATGCAAGTAGAGAGGWACAGTTACATCACAGCGTGGTAATATTATCATTTACTGCACACTGAGTTAGAAAATTCAGGTGACACCTTTTATCTAAAGAAACTGAAAACTTTACAGATGAATGAGAATATTAAAAAATTTGCTGACCCTCAACGCGAGTTTCTAGATTTTTATCCAACTCTTCTTCCTTCTTCACGGCCTCTTCTGAGATTTTGGGAGCTCCTGGCAAACACACCAACACCACGCTCATGTTGTCCCTGCTCCCCTGCACAAAGAACACACACACACACACAGGCATCACTCACTGTACAATGCAAGAACATAAAAACTAAATAGACTATACTTCTTAAACCAGTGTGTTACTATCAGTGTTTTGGTTTACAGAGTCTAGAAGACACAAAGAATTTAAGACAGAATGTTTCTTGTTCTTCGACATTTACAGTATTTGTTGATTTCTTCTGTTGATATTCAGCTGCTCAGAACACCAGACGGTGTATGTGGTAATGGATAGCTGCTGGTTAATTTATGTTGACTAAGAGTTAAGCTTTCCTTTTTGTCATCTTTAACTTTAAACTCCAAGAAAACTACGGTAAGAAGAACTTGCGGCTATCTCGAGCAGTTTTTTCCACTGAGATGTTCTTCAGCTTGTGTGTGAAATACAGTCTGAAAGTGTGCCATTAGTTCAGTCTTATGATTATGGTGTTTCACAAGTTCTGAAAACAAGAACTTTGCACCCTGCTTTGCAACGTTGTTATAGTTTAGTCTTGTCTAACAAATTCAGCATGACTTTTCTTCGCAGTGGCATGCCGCTACCCCTCCCTGAAAGCCGAAATTTAATCCATACCAGGCTGTGGCATGTTTCGAGCTGTACAAGTCAGCATTACATGCATATAAAATGTTGAGTTCAGCTGCTGGGAAACATGTTGACCTAATGATGTTCGATAACTAGTGACCACAATTACGCAATATTTAAACGAACAAGAAATCCTRGTTACTAATTTTGATCTTGACGTTGACCGTAGAAATCTTGACTAATTCTTGCAGCTCTCCATTATAAATACACCTAACGTTTACCAGCATTAAACACGGTAGCTGCTTATTTTCTGCCTGGTGGCCGCTGAATGACCCAGGACATCTTATTAGATATCTTTAATAAGACACACAGTGACATAAGATAGACTCCAGGCCTTCAGCAAAATAAACCGTCATCCTCTCTCGCTACACTGAAGAAGTCAATGTGGTCCTAGTAACTTCCTGTAAGTGTCTAGGGACACATACATCACAAAAGACCATGACAGCAGAGACGATTTATGATCCCCTGTAGCTTTTACTTGAGATAACCCATCCAGTGAAGTTAAAAATAACTTGTCTGCTGTGCGTGCGCCCGTTCTTGGCAGTATCACCAAAACAAAATGAAAAAACACACAGAAAACAAAAATCCACAATGAGGACCAGTGAATGAAGTGAGTGATTCATGTTTGATGCTTGAACACAGTGCTTGGGAAGTCCAAAACAAAATTTAAAGCAAAGATTACAATTTTTACCTGACCTTTCATTGACATATTTTTATTAAACCAACTTAGATGTGTAATTTGTTTGTTTACTCTGATATAGTTCATTTATTATTAAAAGTGCTAAAAAAATATCTAATTAGATTTTTTTGTATTTTATTCCTTTACTATAATGACAAATTGAAAAACGTGCTTAACATTGTCAGTCAGGTGATTTTTGTGTTTGCAAAACAGCTCTTTCTGAGATGCAACTAAAAAAATATAAAGTTTTGTGTTAAAGATGCTAACCTGCAAGTTTTGTGGTACTCTATCATTAGCTGCGTTTCCATTGACCATGAAAATGCACAAATTAGAATTTCGAAAATAAATTTGCTCAATGGAAACACGTTAATTTCGAAAAAATATGTTTTTCCACAAAATGTTTTTGTGCTAGGATGAGGTGGTATTTCGGCCATTTGGAAATTGGTGTTTTTCGCAAAACTGCAATGGAAACACTTTTTTCGCATCACGGGAGTCAAGTGATCAACCGGCTGTTCCTACTGGCGAAAAAGACGACGACGAAGAAGATAACAGGAAGTAGAAGTAGTAGTAATATCACAGAAGTAGTAAAATAAAGTAGTAAACTCACCAACTACAATTTCACAAAAACACAGCATACGTAGCCGTTCTCAAGTAGGGGCTTGTCGCTGGAAAGCCTCAATAATAGACGCCGACGTCTCCTCTGATGATGAGCGCTAGTGTCGTGGTAGCAATATGCTATGTGTTTGTAATAAAATAATATGTTTGTAATGTCTTATTGCGAGAACAAACGTATTCAAACGTGACTTAATAGCATTTCTTACTTAATGGAAACACTGCAGTTGCGAAACTGTTTTTTGACATTAACAGAATATCAACAAAATTTTGCGCACATTTGCAATGGAAATGCAGCTACTGTAAAATAAATGTCAAACTAAAGAAAATGGCATTTTGTGTAAACTTTGGTTCAAAATGTATATTACACATGGAAAGAGAACTTACCTTGTGAAGACAGGTGTCCACCACTGAGTTACAGACCTTCTCCAGGTCGTCACAAACCTGCAGCCGTGAGCGGACAAACTCACACAGCTCTTCGTTGGACATGACATCCCAGATTCCGTCACACGCTAGAACCACAAACTCGTCTTCGACTACCCTCTCCAACACGCAAACCTCGGGCTCAGGGCTCACCAACTGCTCCGTGGGGCCCTTACCATCCACACATTTGTAGTCGTAGTCCCCGAGGGCCCGTGACACGGCCAGGGAGCCGTTTACCCTTTGGATCATGACTGAACCGCCGGCATTCTGGATGCGCTCCTTTTCACGAGGGTTGCAGGGCTTGTGGTCCTGGGTGGAGAACCCCACCTTGCTGTCTCGACACAGCACGGCCCGCGAGTCGCCGCAGTTAATGAAGTAGAGGTGAGTCGGGCTGAGCAACACGCACACGGCTGTCGAGCCGCTGCGGTCCAGGCCCTGCCGCAGGTCGGCAAAGTTGCGCATGTACTCGTCAATGTTCAGGAAGCCCGAGCGGATCCCGTCCTTAACACCCTCCACAGAGCTGGGCCCGGAACCGAACTCAGCTCCTCCTGACAAGATGTGTTCCAGCAGGTGCCCAGAGCAGTAGTTGGCCACTCGGGAGCCTGCATGGCCGTCATAGACAGCAAAGAATGACCAGTCAGTGAGTCCATGGGGGAGGCCCACCACAGCTGTGTGGGCGTCCTCCATTTCCACCCGCCAGCCCTGCATGGAGCTCAGGCCATAGCGTAGCCCGTTACCATCACCATGGGCACTATGCTTCTCTGTCTTCGGCTTGTCCAGGAATGCACCCATTGCTGCCTACAACTGGAGATCAGAAGAGATGAGAAGAGAAGAGACATTGTAACTTAACATCTCACGATCATCAACAAAGAAACAGTATTTTACCAAGTCACACTGCTGTGCCCTAAATACAAACAGAGCAAATGTGATCAAATCAGAGGAGGATGTCAGCCAATGGGACATTTTTTACATTTTTGTAAAATACAACTAACTTAAGCATGGAATGCTAAAATGTTTTTTAGATTTTAAACAAATTTAGAAAGCCAAAATCAGAATACTTTTTTGATACTTGAAAGAAATTACAGTTATTACAGCTGCAAACGTTCGAGTAGATTAAGGAGGATGAAAAATAAGTACACTAAAACAAAATGGTAAACAAAATAAGCACATTTATGGATAAATAGGCAGTGATTTGGTATGAACAGAATGTATGCAATGTAAAATATAAAGAGTATTGTTTGGCAAGATTTGGTATAAATATAACTCTATGACAGGGCTATTCAACTAAATTGTTCCGGGGGCCACAGTTACTGCAGGTCAACAGCTCAGGGGCCGAACATCCAGCAATTAAAGTCGTTATGCAAATAAACTAAAAATTACAAAGATCTGTTACCTTTGAAAATTTTTTTGCTGTATTTTATCGTGAATACAACATACAGAACCCTATAAAAGTAGTGATAATTAAACAATATCAAAAACAAAAAGAACACATTATGCCTCATATTTAACACAAATATTATTTTGACATCTCTGACTTGCCAAATTTTCAAACCAATTTTATTTTCATTTTCTTAGTTTTATCTTTAACTGCTTGTGATTTTAAATGTCTTGAGTGTGCATAGAAATGATTTTTACCAGCTTCTAGTCAAGATTCTGACGTTTCTGTAGGTATCAAACATATCTATGTTTAACTAAAAGAACTTATAATTATTGAAGTAGAAAACCAGATGTTTGGGCCGAAGAGATGAATGAACCAATTGGCGGGCCGAACTTTGGTCACTCACGGGCCAGCCCTGCTGTATGAAGTATACAGTATCATAATGTACCATACTAAAAAAACATTGTGAAATATATACAGTATTACAGTATATTCACAAATATACTGTAAACTATATACATTAACTCAAAGTTAATGACTGAAAATACACAGTTCAAGTAAAAAACATTGGTATCAGTAGGTTTAAGTACAACTGTTATGAATCAGTGGCTCATTCTTACTGATCAGTAAAGCAAATGTAGGTAATAAAAATGTTCAATTTCATCACTATTCTAATTAAGTGTTCTGTTTACTGACAAGCTTTTTTTGGAAAAGACTGACTCCAAATAAAAGGTATCTAAAAAACAATTTTATGGAAATGCGAATCAGAAGTCATTTGTAAAAAAAAAAAAAATCAGGTAATGTAATGCCCACAAATTGAGACTGGAAATCTAAACAGTAAGAAAAGAAGTGACACAAAAACATCCACATTTTTTTATATATCTTATATATAATTTTTGTATTTTCTTTTTTTTTTGACCATTTAACCCTTCTGTCTCATATACACATTCAACTGCCTCCAAAACATTGACCATTTGTATAAATATTGATGCTGCAAAAAATTAAAAGGAATAAAAAAAAACACTCAAAAATATAAGTTTTATTTAAGCTTTACTTCCCACGAGTATGCATGCGTCATGACAAGCATGTGCCCAAAAAAGGCTGTTACATGCAACGCCTGGTTTCTGAGGGAAGGTGTGTGTGTGTGTTTGTGTCTGCTCTGCGCATGTGTGCAGTGTCACAGTCCTCGCGCGTGAAAACAACGCTCTATAAATACGCCGGGCTGGTTCAGATTTCACGACCGGCGTGAGACGGCAAGGACAGACCATTCACTTTTTTTACCTTCTTACTTTCCTGCAACATGACAAAACCAGTAAAGCATTTCTCGCCATTTCTTTGAGGTTGCCTCTTTTTTTTTATGTTCGAATGTTTTCACTTGTGTCTGTGTGAGAAAATAAATCTGTAGCATTCACCAGCAGTGATTTTCTCTAAAAATAAAACAAACACATGGCCATTGCCTAGCGACCGCCCACCCCGCCGTGCAAACATCCAGGCTAAGCTTCATTCAGCGACACCCACCCCACCTCCTGTTGCCTTTCTCTCACATGCTTAAAAAGAGGCGCACACATCTCAGCTGCTTGGCAGAGAGAGGAAAGGGGAGTTGCATCATCCAGCCATTAAAGCACTTGCAGCAGCCAAATCCTGAAAGGTGTCATGCAGACTGCTAGAAGACACCAAGATACTGTGAGATTTCACTGGCTGCCCATGATATCACACATTAATGAAAAAAAAAACACACACACACACACACCCTCTCACAGAACAGAAATGCCTCGAAAATATCTCTATTGTGACATCAGACAGAAACTAGAAACTCCCAACRGCTTAACCCTTACAAACTGCTGTCATTAGCGCTGCAACCACAGGCCGAAACCAACACCCCCGATGTGAGACACCCGTCTGCCAAAAACCTCTGCCTTTCGAGAGGGAAGTGGAACGTCAGAGATTACATAATGCTGCGGAGAATCCAAACGCTGTTGAGAAAAAAAAAAACGAGCACATTTACACAAAACAGCTAACGCTACCCTGGAAGAAAAGGATAACACCAACAGCCTTTTTTAGGAATAATGTGGTAAAAGAAAAAAAAAAGTGTGCTGAAATTTTTATGCAAATTACACCCCCATAAATGGTTCAGAAATAATCAGAACTAACGTCTGTTTTCTTGTTACCAGGATTAGGCATTTCAAGCAAAAAAATAACCTTTTAAAATAAAGACATAATTGTTCTTTAAGGAATGCTTATTGCKTGCGATTTAGACTGTGCTCTAATGGTCTGAGGTAGAGAAATGAGAGTTGTAGCTGTTTCGGTCTAACCTGGACATTAAAGGCGATCTCACAATATTGCGAAAGACTCTCAGCTACTAACATCAAATTTGAGCTCAATAAAATAGGGCTGCAATAATACATGTACCCATWTCAAACTGCTCAATACAGTGCTTTAGGTCCAATACACACTTGTATCAAACACAGATTTTTTTAAATTTATTTTATCAACTTGTCTTCTGAAGATGCTCTGTGTTGAAGGTTCAGTGGATCTGTGTTCGACTATTCCACCTAGGCTGCATTTTCTAATGCAGATCCACTGAGAAACTTGCTGTTTTAGCAACATTTAAATTAAACAAATGTTCATACTTAATTTAAATAAATTACAAGTTCAAAAGGGCATGGAAATTTCTCTTTTTTGTATCGAAAAAATATTGAACCGTGAGATTTAAGTATCGAACCGAACCAAATCGTGAATTTTCTGTATCGTTGCACCCCTACTGCAAAACTATCACAATTATATATTTTTGTCTTCGCTAAGGTTGCTTCACTAGTTCGGCCATCTGATGAGTGAGTTAACCCTGAAATAATAATTCAATGGAGAAACTGTGTTCGAAAAATTACATTTCTTAACCAAAAACAGACAAATGGTGTATTTTGACGACATATATTTAAACACCTTTTTTTAACCCACATGTATAAAATAGTTACAAACAGTGACCTAATGGAAAATGCTTGATAAATATGACATAATCATGTGATATTTTTATGTATTTACATAATGAAAGGAACTATGAGAAAGCAGCCTAAAACTGTAAAAACACTAAATAAAGGTTTGTGGAGCAGTAAGAGGGAACTACAGAGGATATACAAGTCATTTTTTTAATCACTGCATCTCAGAACAAATTATAAAATGTTTCTAACATGAAGAATAGATGCCCACATTAGAATGAGGGCGTGTAAATGGTCCGTAGTCTTACAGGTGTTTATCTTAAAGACACACCTTCCACTTATATCTCCTTACACACCTTGATGGAATGTTGTAGTCGTTTTTTTTTTATCCCCTCAATCTGATTTTCTTACATAACATGGGCTCCTGGTGAGAAGATTGTTATACTTTCCCACACTCATGCCCAGTCATTGTGGGAGCGGTGTTTTGTGAATATGCAAAGGTTTAAATAATTTCCTCACCGCATCTAAATGAAAATCACCTTAGAGAACTGCAAACAATACTAAAGAAAATGTTTCAGGAAAAAGATCAACAATATACGTCACATTCAAAAAAAGAGATATTGGATAGTTTTAAAGACCAACACTTGAGTATAACTAATTTAGCTTGTATGGTTTGAACATCGTGAAGAACACRCTACCCTCCAGGTCTAAAATCTACACTAAGGATAAATAATAGTTGTCAATAAAATGGTTTAAAATTGCCTGCCTTCATTTCAAAAGTGTACTCTAGATTAAATCTTAAAGCAGCTGCCAAGGTGGGAACAAAGAGGGTCGATGTGTGTACAATGTGGGCACCAAAATAATGCGCACAGTCTAAAATACAGTTTTGAAAGCCGTGCACACAAAAATAGGACARGATGTTGAAAACTGGCCCTGTTTACGATTTGCTAGTTGTTTGGTTTCAGTTGCCCATAATTTTTTTTATTATTGTATTTAGAAATTTATTCATTTTATTTGTAATAATTACATTATATATACAACAAAGAACGAAAAACGTGCAATCAAAATAAAATCAAATAAAATGAAAGGCAGCAGAAGAAGAATAAATCTTCAGTGATACAGCAAACAAAAAAAAGCTACTTTCTCACAATTTTAAGTAACCAACTGGTCTCCAACAGTGACATACTAGCTTATCTAACACCAAAAACTACAAGATATATAGCTCTACAGGATGGGTGATATGTGTAATTTTTGATTTAGGATAGAGCTTTCAAAATTAAACATGTATAAACTTAAACTCTAAAAAGGAAAAGTTATTTAACAAAACGTTAAATTACTCTTTCTAGTCTTTACGTTTCGACATTAAAAATACATCAGTAACTGAGTTTATCAATCCACCAARTATAACACTGATGATATTCAACTTATTAATACAGGCCTGTCACGATAAGTAATAAATCAATTAATCGGATGATAAATTAAAAGGAGATCTTTAAATTAAAATGATAATTGATAGATGATTATTTTCATTTGCCTGCTTGTTTGTTTTCTTTGAGTCTCCTTCTGTTCTACTCCTTAGTGTAGGGAGGAGTGAACTCAAGCGAGGTATTTGCCAGGAGCACGGTCTCATAACCTTTGTAGCATWCGAGCCCCGTGAACAGACATTTAGCTAAAGGAGTGTCTTTGGTTTTCCGACGACGCCTCAAAATGCCCTCAGGGCACATTGCCAAACCTTGGGTTCATCAAGTGTTTTTTTTTTTTTTTTTTTTTTTTTTTTTTTTTTTTGTCTTTTCTTACTCTGCATAAATTTCGCAAATTTCCGTAAACTTTGTAAGCAGTGTCTGGGTGACCACAATTATTTTATGAAGCCAGAGGAAGACGCATCGAGAATAAATTGTGCTGGCCTGGATAAAGGAAGTGGGGTAGCAATTTTACAGCTTCAGAAGATGTTGRGTGTTGTTTTCCRAATCTCTGGTCCAGATCAGTTCGTAACATTTTTTTAACGTACGTAAATTTCATAAACTTCCAGGTTTGAGGGGGTACATATCCTTAATGGTCTCCAGACAATTTATAGTACAGCAAAATTAGCTATCATGYCAGGCCTACATCAATATTTGCATCTTAATTGGCTTTCTATAAAAGAAGCAGAACAAACACACAGCACGGCCCACAGCTGAAGCAATTTTGAGTTTGCTTATGATTTCTAATGATGCTAAACCCATCAGCATTGTCAAACAATGACCCGTGAACACCAGAACTTCGGCTTTAATTTGCATGCCCAGCTCCAAGTAGAAAATCCAAAACAGGGATGACACGATTAGTCGACTAGTCATGATTGTTGTCGACTATTAAAATCGTCGACTAATTTAATAGTTGATGCATCATTTTGTTTTCTAATCTAACTTTGTTTTTCTCTCCAAACTGCTGCAGAACCTTCCACTGCCACGTCTGCCTTTCTGTCCTTGACACACATGCACGGTAATGGTAATTAGTAGGAGTGCAACGATACTGAAAATTCACGATTCGGTTTGGTTCAGTACTTTAGTCTCATGGTTCGATATTGTTTCGATACAAAAAAGAGAAATGTCCATGCCCTTTTTATCTTGCAATTTATTTAAATTAATTATGAGCATTTGTTTAACCTGAAAAGTACAGCTTTTAAATTAAATGTTGCTGAAACAGCAAGTTTCTCAGTGGATCTGCGTTCGAATACGCAGTAATGCGCGATATAAACGATATACGGTAGAAACWATATAAATTTGTCCTATGATAGAGATCTGTAGTCTACCGGCCAACCGCGCAATTGTTTTTGATGATGTAACCAGCTGGAGTCAAAACAGAGGAAGCGGGAAGCAGCGAGGCTGAGAGCGCAAATGAAGAGGGGGAAAAAACATATCCGGACCTGGTTCGGGTGTGTGAAAATGAACGCCGAACTGTTTATATATTTACATGACGGCGCGTCCACCGGTCGGATGCCGACCGACCACACTGCCTGCTGCGGGAGGAGCGCGCGCCGCGGCATATGATGCAGCGAGGCGACTGTCAGTGCAGGTGAAGTAGTGCTCCAGGACACACAAAAGCTCTGAGTCTGGACCTCGTTTCTCCTGCGGTCATAGCGCGATGACGCACGGCCGAATGCGCACGCACTCCGCGCCCACTCTGCACGCATTCCAAAGCGAAACTATAACTCAGCCTCTACTGTCTCCTTGTACAGCGGAGAAGCGCTGTGGGAAAGGCTGACAGTCAGACTGTCTTTCCAAAAAAAAAAAAGTAAAGCATAAACGGGATGATTGGCACCCCGCCGGAGCACGCACAAATTAAACACGTGGAGTGCAGGAAAAATAATCTGCAAAGTGTGTAGAAAGGAATAAATACAATTTGTTTTGCCACCTTAAAACGAAGCAGGTGATTCCAAACACAACATCCAATGGATGCAGATATCTATTACATTAAAGTTATTGGGCCTCATGCAAGAACATGTTCGTATTCTTCTCCTAAATTTCTCTTACTTTTGTTCGTACAAAGTGTTCGTACGAACATGTCACGTCAGATTCAACAAACTCTTCTATCTTCTGGAAACGTGCGTAAATGAGCTGCGTAAATTCCACCTGTTCTATCC